TTATTTATTCATACAGAACTGGGTACAGGGCAGAGGTGCAGGGTGGTGAAAGGATTCACCAGAGACAGAGTGGGGAGCAGAACAGGCAGATCAACTAAGCACACTGCTGAGGGGAGCAGCAGGTGGGTCAGGAGAGGTCTGCAGTGCCATGTGGGTCACCTCTGGGGCCGGCGGGGATGGAACTCTTGCGAAGTGGCTTTAGTTTCTTAGTTCTGTGCTTTAACCTGCTTCGCCACCAGGGAGGGCTTACATTACCTTTTTTTAAAAAAATTATCTTTCCCCCCCTTCTATGAGGAGTTTCCCAGGTGACTAGAACAATCGTCCCAACCTACAGATTTGTTTTGGAACTTTCATTGTGCAGCTTATGAGCACAATGTGTCATTGGCATGCGGGATGATCAGATCCATGTGTGCTCTTCCTGAAATGGTGTTTGCAAGCTCTTTTTTGATATAGGAATTCAGTGTAAGACTGCTATATGTTACACATGAATATCCTGATACCTCTTCTAGATCTCCAGTCATCTGAAGACACTTCAGGGATGGGAAGGAGGGTGAGTTTTATCTTTTGGGTCTGTGAACCCTTATAACCTGGCATGTTAACAGAGGTTGTTTTGTCCACCAAAGGAGTTTAACTCCTTAAATATATATGCTAAGTCAAAGAAGACCGTTTCAAAGGCTAGTGCTAAAAAAGGATGGTGGCTTTGCCTGAAATAATCTTTCATTTACTTTGTTGCTAACCAGTCCCATTCTCTTTCTGATACAAATATTTCTATTTTGCATAATTCCTCATAGTACACTTCTATTAGTTAATCAGTATGCTGCCTGATTCATAAATGGTTTAGTAAAGTCAATAAGATCTTTAAATTTACTTGGTTGAAAATTGTTTTTAATACTAATACTGTTTGACTCCAGCTATATAATATTCTAGGAAAGGGAAATTATAGTCAGTAAAATGATTAGTGGTTGTCAAAGGAATTTGGAGGTTAGGGGTTAGGATGAATACATTGCACACAAGAGTTTGGGGGGGAGTGGGGTGAAACGGAGATATATGACCATAATGGTGGATGCATAACAGTTATTTATTACCATCCATAGAATTATGCAATCAAAAAATGAACTTTTATGTAAAAAATTAACTTTATTTATTAATAATTTATCAACATTGGTTTTTTACTTACACACACACACACACACACACATATATTTGACCTCTCTGTGTTATCTTTCAATATTTTTGTAAAACCAAAACATTTCTAGAAAATGTGGTCACACTGATCCTTATTTTTTCACTATTAGTATTCAAATCTTGTTCAGTTATAAAACACTGTAGGATCTTCTTTTGATTGTCAAATAAAGTAAGCTTAACTCAAGAGTTCAAACATTTAACTTCTGTACTCATTGCTAATAGAGAAGAAACATGGTTAAGGTGACTTTTTTTTTTTTAATCTACTTTAATCAGCAAATGAGTCTTTAACATTTAGAAGATTTTGTAAGGCTAACTATGTTTTGGACTTTGTTGACTTTCAACATGAAATGATTTAGAAGCATTTGTGTCATGGCTGCAAGCAATTGTTTACAAGTGAACGTAGGAGAGATGATAGGAAGGCTACCTTCTGCTCATTTCCTGACTTTTCAGATGAAAGAATATTTTTGACAAACAGTAAAGAAAAAAGTCTCACAGGTTCATTCTTCTTTAAAAATTAATAAAAATATTTAGTGAAGCAAAGCAACAGGCTTAAAAATATAGTCCACAGTACATTTTGCATAATGATGAAATGTTTTAAATCACTATGCTATTTAGCTATTAGTGAAATAGCTAAAAGATAAAACAGTCCACTACATAAAAAAAAATAATATAAAGTATAATTTTGAAGTCAAGTCATGGTGACTCTTGCTCTACCTCAATTTTCTTTTCTTTTTTTAAAGATTTATTTCCTTATGCATGCAGAACTGAGGTACAGGCCAGAGGAGCAGGAGCAGTGGGAAGATTCACTAGAGACAGAGTGGGGAGATCAAGGATGTACATTGTTGAGGGGAGCAGTGGGCGCATCAGGAGAGGTCTGCTGAGCCATGTGGCTCAGCTCCCTGATTTGGGGCTGGGGGTTGAACTCACTGAAGTGAGTGCAGCTACCTTTGCAGTGCTGTGCTTTAAACTGTTGTGCCACCAGGGAGGGCCCTCTACCTTAGTTTTCTATCTTGAAAAGCCCCATTTCCTGGAAACCTTTTACTTTGACTAGGGCTGCATATTAATGACCTCTATAACTAGCAAGTATGGTAGTCTTAATTTCTTGTTTTTCTTGAAGACACTAGTTTCTTTTCATTCAGTAAATGTGTATTTAATGCCTAGTCTACACAGGGGAGAAAGCTGGACTAGTAAATTTTAATTATAGCATGTGGTATTTAATGCTAAATAGGAGAAAGTACAGGATTTGAAGGTCACTCTAGGGATATTCAGTCTTGCAATAGATAAGGGAAGACTTTCAGTGTAGTTGTAAACTAATGAACTGACTAGGAATGTTAACTAATAAAACATTCAAATAACTGAGTTAGAGAAGGGATGGGGAGGAAAGATTTCCTGTAAGGGAGAATTTCCTAGACAGATAAGGTGCAGAAACATGAAAAGATATAAGGTGGAGGTCTCATCTTTCTACCAAATCCGGAAAGGTTCTTTTTGTTTTTCACTTAATTTATCTAAATTTCAGTATTAGTGTTTAACTTTATCAAGAAACAGCTCACAGTGCCATTAAACGAGTGAATAGCACCAGAGAGAAGTGACGGTTCTAAACAATAAAGGTGAGTATGTTTACATTCTTTCCATAGCTGTCATCTATTTTTGATTTCTAGGACTAATAAAGTTAAAGGCAAAGATTTGAAATGGAATGTTTTTCAAATGATTTGTTAAAACACAAGGAAATACTACAAAGCCTTCTTTGACAGGACACAGTAAACTAACAGAGGTCTCTTGACTCAAGATTTCCTCCTCTGGCTTCCTTCATACTACTTGTCATTTTCTCCTCTCCTCTTATTCCTTCAGCAAGTTTATTCTTTTGAAGCTCAACTTCATCCATTTTATTATTCATTAGTCAGTGAGTAAGGGACTCCACCTTTCCAAGCTCTCTTGTATTATACTCCAAATACTGCTCTTCATCTTCCTTTTCACTTCCTCTGCACCCCTTCCCACAATTGCTTACTGCTAGAAAATATAGAAATTTGATTATGAGCCAAAATTGAAAACTAACACCGCGGGCTTTCTAGATCTCTGTATGAATGATTGTGTAGCTAAATGCTTCCACAGGTATGTGTCTATCTCTGTATTACTTTATTGCATCATGGTTTTTCAGAAAGCCAAGCCCCACAGATTAGTCTCCTCCTCCTGATCTGGCCTTCAGAATAAAAGCTCACCAGAAACATTACAAAAGCAGACGTGGTTCTCATATTTTTGCAGGTTAAAACCTGGGTGAAGATTTGAAGAAAACTACTACATCACCCAATTTCTTTCACAGGATCAACTACACAGGTTGTATTTTTACTGTTATTACTGATCATTAATATTTAAATTTTAGCTATAGGAAATAATGCAAATTGCATAACACAAAACTGTTGCAAAAGGAAATACAGGGAGGATATAGTCTTTACCATACTTTATTAACTTAGTGGAAAGCATTTAGAGTTTTAAAATCATATGTCAACATATCTTGCATTTATATAGTGTTGTGTTTTTGTTTAAAGAGTTTTAACAAAAACTACAGTGTCATAATCACCCTATAAATCCTACAGGGATTTGCAGAAATAGCTAGAGTGGAAAATGACTTCTAATCTGGTGTTTACTGCTGTGAAATAGGTCAGAAGTCAGTTGTTATCAGGGGTCTTGCAAATATTCCTACTATAAGTGAGAGACTTCAGATAACTACAACAGAAATCTTAGTATTTTGTGTATCACTGACAAGTAAATTAGCAGAATAGTAAATATTTAGACTAGGGCTCCTTAGTAGAAACAAGGACCCCAGAGAGATTTGATGTAGCAATTGAATTTACTGAATATGTTTGAGTACCTACCATGATACAGTGTTGAGATCTGGAGTAGAATGTTATACAAAAGCTGGATATTCCTTGCTTGGGTCACTTTATCCAAATTCAGGCATGTCTGAAATGGTAAGGACTAAGTAAACACCATTCATCCATATTCATCATCCTAACATTTAACACTGTTACTGGGAATGAGATAGTATTCCCACAGCATTGCTAGATGGAAGGCAAATTTGGGGTATAGGAGAAAGGGACATAGAAAGGGAAAAAGAAAAAGAAATAGAGGGAGGAAAGGTGACACAAAAGAAGAAAAAATGGTCTGAATGAAATTCAACAGATGAATCACAGTTTTAACTATTTATTTTGGTGTTTCTGGATAGCAATGACCTAGCACTGTTATAAAGAAACTAACAGTTTCTAACTGAAATATGTCTTTATAAAAAAGAGTATAACTATAGGGTGATTCCTTGCATTATGAAATGAAATAACTTGCCAAGAAAAGTTGAAAAACCAAGAAACTTTATTATATGGTAACTAGTTTAATGCGCCAAAACTGATCATTGATGATGGAGGTACTTCCAGAAGCCTGCCAACTGTCTTATCATAAATCAGTTGCTTCCATACGACTGTCAGCAAGTTTTTGCAAGCTTGGCAGAACACCAAGAAAGTTGTTGAAAAGAATAAAGGAAATCAATAGACTGAGCAAGCAGTAACCTTCATGCCAGTCTTCTGGTGAGAGATCTATTTTCTCAGAGTAAGAAGAAAGTTTTAGGGACAAACTGACTTCTTATTAAACTTCATAATTTGGGTGAGATTGTATCTAACATACCTGACAGGGAAATTTTGAAAGATTTGAGTTTGCCTTTAAGGACTAGGATTCTTTGCCCTTTAAAAACAACCATAACTAGTATTCTTGGTTCCTAAAGCCTTTCTCTGGTTAAAAATAAATAAATCTATTTGCGCTTCTGTTAGCATGCAATCTGGGACCAAAATGAAATGAATGTCATACTCATGGAAAAAAACACATAGTAGACATTTGCAGATTATTAACTATAAATTTGTCCTGATTATTATATATTTGTAACATACATTCTAGGGGATTTTTGATAGCAAATATTTCCCTGCTTTAATCCACGATAGTTCATACAATGTGTACTGTTCCTGTGATTTCAGAGGTCAGATTTCTCTACATTATCATATGGTGTTAGAATAATAGGAATATAAGTTCATATAAATCAAGCAAATATTTCCCTGCTTTAATCCACGATAGTTCATACAATGTGTACTGTTCCTGTGATTTCAGAGGTCAGATTTCTCTACATTATCATATGGTGTTAGAATAATAGGAATATAAGTTCATATAAATCAAGTACTTATAGTTGAATAGGCTCTTTAATACCCAGTAACTACTAATCAAATGAGTGAGGAAATTACAGGTAATATTAGCTATCACAGAAGAATCTTGTATCCTTAAGAACCTGTGGCTTAGGTTTATCTATTCCAATGCCATCAATTTCATCTTTTAAACCTACTCACCAAGCCTTTAAATGCATTAAATGAAATATACTTAGGAACTAAGTAGATCTGGCAATAAGTATCAAAATTATCACTGATCTTTATAATTCCTTAATGTTTGTACTAAATAAAATGGTTTTGGCCAAAATAATGTATTTCTAAGCTTCCTGTTTTTTAACATGCCTGGTAAATTTTGACACATAAACTGTGTGATTTTCCTTCATCATGGAACTTAATATATATAAATATGGTAATGTAAGTGTTTCACACATTTTTACAGTTTTAAACATTTTACTTTGTAGTTATTTATACTCTTATTCTTTTATATGTTAGATTGATCTCCTTAATAGGGTTAGAAACTCTCAATGCACCACGATTTGCTACATCTTTCATATGACTACTTTATCTGCATAACAGCTGATCCACACCAGACACCAAAGAGAGCTCAAGATACAGAGCTGTCACTAATGTTTAAACATTTTAACGTACATGCAAAATGGAAAATATATGTTTTTTTTTTTTTGCAGTGTACCACTCTAATGGATTCTTCCAAGTCTGACTATTATGAAAACTTTGGCAGAATACAGGGAATTCTAATGTACAAGGATTTTCTCAAATACTGGTCTGATGTGGAGACATTCCAAGCAAGGCCTGATGACATTGTCATTGCCACATATCCCAAATCTGGTAAGTCTCCTTGTTAACTCAGAGTTGCTTTTCACCTACAAATGACAAACTCATCTTCAAGGTAAATATTAAATAGTTCACTTATTCTATACTCATTATCCATATTAAATAATGACTGATGTAGTAGTTTTGATTAAGACAAAGAAAAATAGAGTATTATAACTCTCTTCTGAGAATGTCATAAGTTCCAGTAATTTAAACAGTGCATTAACACTGTGGATACATTTTTTAAAATATGTAGCATAGATTGGTGAATTTTGTAATACAAATAAATTTAAAATGAATAACTGCATTAATATTACATCATTATTGTCTTTATTGTCTAAGTATAAGCAATTTTGACAGATTTAAAAGTGTCTTTTTTAGCCAGATCCTCTATTTAAATCACTAAATTCTAATTTTTTTTTTTAAAAAGATTTATTTATACAGAACGGGGTATAGGCCAGAGATGCGGAGGGTGAGAGGATTCACTAGAGACATAGTGGGAAGCAGAACAGGCAGATCGATGAAGTACACTCACTGCTGAGGGGAGCAGCAGGCGGGCCAGGAGAGGTCTGCCACGCCATGTGGATCTCCTAAGGGGCAGGCAGGGATCGAACTCATGCGGAAGTGGCCTTGAGCTTCTTAGTGCAGTGCTTCAAACTGCTGCACCACCAGGGAGGGCCCTAAATCACTAAATTCTAATTTTAAAGCAATCTCATTCCCTGAGATGATCTCAACTTATTAATCATAGTTACAGATGATCTCAACTTATTAATTAATAGGTATTTAACAATCAGAAAGGTCTAATCCAGACTTGTCTATCTGGTAATTCCATTTAGCATTTAAATATCTAAAATACTTAAAATACTTCAATATTCCATTTAGCATTTAAATATCTTAAATATTTAAAATACTCAAAGATCTAAAATATTTAAATACACAAACTAACATTGTTCTTCACCTCTCTTCCCTGTCTGGATGAACATTAGGTTAACTAATGTTAAATGTTTCCCTTTTGCAGTTCTTTAAAATTGTATGTCTACTTATAACCTTAAGAAAAAAGAAGTGTTATAATTATTTAAAATTGCTTTTTACTTTTTAAGGGTCTTTGCCCCCTGTCGGAAGAGGTCCAGATGTATTATTTTCTATGTCTTCTGAACTAGTACATAACTTGAAGCATAAGAAAGATTTTAGTAAAGCATGCAGTTGAAAGCATACTTGAATGCATTAGCTGGTATTTAAGACTCCTTATTTTTTAGGTGCAATGTCAAAGTTTATATTTATGTTCAGTTTAAATTCAATTTAGATCCAAATTGTGAACTTGTAAGATATCACAATTTTTAAAAATGTATCAATATTTTAAATTAATTAATTGCACTGAGATAACATTGGCCAACAATATTGTATATGATTTAGGGGAATAAGCTCAGACCTATTCAGAGCTATGTAACTATGCCACACCTACCGCCAAAATATCCAGAGTCCTCCATTGGGCCCCATAATCATGGATAAATTTGGACTCTAACCATTGTCATGTCATACTACAATTATTATCTTTATTTACTTAGTATATTTTTTGGGTACTATGAGATTAAAAATCAGAAGACATATTTCTGAGTTCAGTGGCTATTCTGATCCTTTCAAATGATATTACACCCACACTCCTGTGATCAGCCATGCATGGTCATCGGGAGACTCCACTTTGCTTAATTTTTACAGGTACAACTTGGATTAGTGAAATAGTAGACATGATCTATAAAGAAGGTGATGTGGAAAAGTGCAAAGATGCTATTTTTAATCGAATACCTTTCCTGGAATGCAGAAAAGAAGATATGCTAAATGGTAATGTTAAAGTTGATTTTTTAAAACTATATATATATATATTTTAAGTTGTAGTGATAGATGGTGCAGAGAAAAAAATTATAAGCAAGAATGGTATTGAGATTATGTCTTCTATGTAGAAAGCATGTAAAATGAAACTTAAATTGATGGTATTACATGGTATTCATCGGGAATAAGATGATTAAGGATAACTGATATGTCTACAGTATAGTTAGTAATATGTGAGCATTTATCTTTCTATTGGCGGTATGTGATAATATTGTAGTCACTAGGAAAAAAGTCATAAGTTTTTCAAAGATATGTGCAAAAATATTCATGATAAATGTCTAGTATTGTGAAAAATTAGAAGCAAAATAAATGTTAATCAACAAAATAAGTTAAGCTATATTAACAATGAAATCAACAAAAATTTTAGAAAACATTTTTATATCGCAGTTTCAGTATACTATATTGAGGAAAAGAGATAATTATAAGGTAATAAAAATCACATCTGTGTATGGGTACTATGAGTTTAAACATACAGCTATATTTAAATGAAAAGCTACTTAACAAAATGTTAGTAATGATGTTTCTGAAGTAGTGACATTTATTTTGGTATCATTTTGTTCTATAATTTCATCTATATAGACTTCTTTTGCATATTTATTATTATAGTACAATAAATTTTAAAATATCTATAAAAATACAAATAAATATTTTTTGTTTATAAAGTTGTCTAACCTTTAATTTTTAAAATATCAGGAGTAAAACAATTAAAACAAATGGAATCTCCTAGGATTGTGAAGACTCATTTGTCACCTGAACTTCTTCCAGTATCATTTTGGGAAAAGAAATGCAAGGTAATAATAATTAGCTATTCTTAACGCTTCATCTTACTCAAAGATTTTAGAATAATCAAGTCCAGGAATACCCTTACTCTGTTTTTATTGAATTTATAAACATTTAGTAAATGCAGTTTATATAGTCAACATAGAGTCTAGAATTAAATTCCAATTGTAGAGTTGATTTTGAAAAAACAGGTAAACTCTGCTAAATCACAGTTTCTTCATATGTAAAAGAAGGATAAAAATAACAATTTCTTTATGGAGCTATATAAGGATTACATGAAGTAGTGCTTGTAACATGCTTGCCATCGTGTCTAGCCCATTGTAAACACTAATAAGATAGTAGCTGTTTTTGTATTCCTTATAATTGATTATTTTGAATTTATTTTTTGCAAACTATTGTTCTTGGAATCATGAAACACACAAATGAACTAAACAAGGATACAAGTGGTATGCAATAAAGTAACAAATATGTCATATAATAAATAATTAAATGTGAATCATATGCCAGGGGTATAACAATTATCAAGAAAATGTAATCCTTGCCTTCATGGAAATTTAGCCTATTAAGGAAAATAACAAAATAAATAAGGAAGGAGATGTCATAAGTTAAGTAAGAGAATTTTAGCCAAGACCAGGAAATGCATCCATGACATATCATATCCCAGTACTTAGAAGATGTAAAGGAATTAATCTACATAATCATAGAGGCAATCCCAGCGCTCTGAAAACAGTTCAATTTAACTGAACATTTCAATTTAACCGAATGTTCAAATGCACATATTGACTTGGATAAGTGAAGGGGGGGATGAGACAGGGATTAATTACAGCAGACACTGAAGTCAAATTACATTTTGACTCTACTCAGTGATAATGAAGAGTTACAGACATAACTTTGACTGTTATGATCAATTGTTTCTTCTTTATGAATGATACATTTAATCCAAACTGCAGGCAAATTATCAAGTCTAACACCACTGACATGGTTGCTTAAGATCTTTAACACACTATGACCCATACTATAGATATGTTAATTAAAGTACTGCTTACAATCTTTACTAACAATAAACGGGGAGTTAAAACAGCCATAAACATTTCCATTTTGTACACTGATGTCTGATATATTCTGGAGATCCATAATGTAAAATTCTGAAGATTCCAATGTTTTTGTTTTTTGTTCTTTTATCACAAACAATATTAAATAGACCACATCCATCCTGCTAAAAATCATACACAAAGAATTTCTCATTAACAATACCACACATATATTTTCCAAGAGATATGCCATTGCCAAATTTTAAAGTGATCTGAACAAGTCATTTTTTTTTTTGAGAATGGACTATAGTCTTGTTCTTACCCTTTACTTCTCAAATGAAAATAGACACTATACATTTGCAAAAGTCTAGTCTCCTAAAAACTATCTCAAAACTCAATAGAGTAGTAGATAGTTGGATGAATTCATGCCCTGACTATCTTCATGGTGATCAATTTTATGACAAGAAGATGAATGGATTGAGATGATTAGTGTGTTTGAAGCAGTCGACCAAAACTTTAAGTGTTAAAAAAGAAGAAACTGAAAAAAATATGTTTATCAGAGGAGAAAAATCATTGCATACAATAGAACTGATGTCCTGGAGTGTTTGTAGGAGGGCATATATTAGAAATAACTGATAAGGAAAAAGGCAAGAGCAGAATTTAGAAGAAAACATAATGTTCCAGGATAAGACTTCAGATGTGAAAACTTTGTGGTACTGACAAGTTTCATAGTTTGATTTTTAAAAGGCTTGGCTGTGGTAAAATAGAGGTAATGATTGATGAGTCCAAAAATCTAGATAATCAGATGAGTCATGCACAGAGATATTAAAATTATACAAGATAAAGACAGGATTTGGAATAGAAAGTAATGCTGAGAGGTAGGTGTTCAAATCTTCAATTAAAACAACGGAATGACCTCAAGCCTGGAAATGGCATCAATTTGGAGAGTTATAGTGTACCACAGGAACAGGGTCCTTTCATATGTAGCATTTTTTTTAAAAAAAGATTTATTTATTTATGCATACAGAACTGGAGTACAGGCCAGAGGTGCAGAGGTGGTGAGAGGATTCACCAGAGACAGAGTGGGGAGCAGAACAGGCTGACTGATGAAGTACACTGCTGAGGGGAGCAGCAGGCAAGTCAGGAGAAGTCTGCTGTGCCATGTGGACCACCTCCCTGGCAAGGATCAAACTCATGTTGACGTGGCTTTTCAGCTTCTTAGTGCTGTGCTTTAACGAGCTGCATCACCAGGGAGGGCCCCGCGTGCAGCAATTTTAAGATGGATTATGATCCCAAGTAAATTATTGTTAAACTAGTAACTCTGACTTGGTAGAAATTGAGGGAAGCCATGTCTTCAGGAAAGACTTAGAGGTTCTTGTAAGACAAAAAAACATGAATTTTGAAGCATAGAATTAAGAATATGCCAAAGAGAGAAAAGATAAATGAATGGAGGTTTAAGAAAAGAGGGACTGAATTTTGCTTCCCTTTCTCCCTTGTCATTATGGGAAAATAAAAAGCTTCATTGGGGTCCTTGTATTATGGATTTTTAGGCAGAGAGACTAGTCAAGACAGTGTGAACAACATGAATAATAAAGGAAAGAGCTGCAAATTCTGAATTCGTGGATTTAGTTGCAAAGAATTTCTCAGCTAATAAGCAAAAAGATCTATGGTGATTAGTAAATAAGATTGTGTCTAAAGATAGCTTCAACAAAAAAGAAACTTCACTTTTAGTCTGTAGTAGTTGGACAGTTAATTTATGGGCCTCCCTGGTGGCTCAACAGGTTAAAGCTTCAGCACTCTAAAGCTATCTGGCAGCCAATGCGGTTTGAGTTCGACTCCCACCCCCACCATGGTGGGGGGGGAGCAGACCTCTCCTGTCTCACCCACTCTAACCCTCAGGAGTGGGTCAGTCAGTCTGCCTGTTCTTCTCCCTCTGGTGAATCCTCTCACCCTCTCACACCTATGGCTTGTACCGCAGTTCTTGTATCCATAAACAACTAAATCTTAAAAAAAATAATGTTGAACTTGGATGGAGCTGGAAGAGATCATGCTTAGTGAGATAAGCCAGAAAGAGAAAGAAAAATACTGGATGGTTTCACTCATAGCAGGAGTATAATGGACCAGGCAAGAAAATAATAAGAATAATGAACAGCCATATACCAGAGACATTTTGTGGGGGTGGAGTGGGGAATGGGATCAAAAATGGGGGGGGAAGGGAAGTGCACCGGACTATGGTGATGGCACACGGGTGACTTGGTGATGGGAAACCCGCGGGGATTACAATTGAGATGAAAAAAAAAATGTACAAAATGATGTAAAAATAAACTTATAAAAAATAATATTGAAGTTGCAAAAATTAAATGTATTGAAATCCTAAAAGTTCAAAATGTTTTGAAATTGTAGAGCTTAGAATAAGACAAAATAGTGAGTCTAATGACACTGGTAAATGGGAAAATCTAGAGCAGTCTTCCCTGGTAGCATTTGTTCAGGTACCAGAGGAAGAAGGGAAAGATAAAGTGTTTACTTTGCAGATCTTTTCCTGTGATATTAAGACTCAGAACTAGAAAAAAAAAAAAAAAACATAGTGATCTGATCCAACTCAATCATTTATTTAGTGGATGGAAAATTGAGGTGCAAAATGATCAATTCTTTATACTAGGTAATAGAACTTCTTGTCTACCTCAGCAACCAAAATCAGTGCTTTCAGTTTGCTAGCTTATTGATATTATAACATGGAAAGTGGAAATTTAATAAGGGTTGAAGATTATATTTTCAATTGAGACCAATGTGCATTTCAATAGACTATATAAACAGGAAGTTTTCTTCCAGAATGTGAGGAAAACAGTAAAACTTTTTTTTCCCTCTAGCATGCACTTCTTTAATAGTAGTGTTGTCAGTAAGAACCAGAGTTCTTTTTTTTACATTGATTGATTTAACATTAAACTATCCTCAGTGATATATTCTGAAGCATCTTAGTTCCTTCTGATTCTGTTTAGTTTCTTCAGTTATAAATTGGGGATAATGATCTATTGGTCAGTTTATATCAGTGGAACTTGTGATACTGAAACAAGTTATTTCACATTAAAATGACAAAATGGAAAGTGAGAAATAGCATTACAATGAACAACAATAAAAAAAGATGCTGCTACTTCAGATTATTAAAGGAGTTTTCTAATTTTATATATTTTACCCATTTTTGCAATGATTATGCATTATGGTTATATTTGAAAAGCATATAGGCTTTAGTTTTAAATCTTGATGAGAGTGTTTGAAAAATTGTTTTCATTTAATATATGATTTTTGTCCTGTTAGATGATCTATCTATGCCGGAACGCCAAGGATGTGGCTGTCTCCTATTATTACTTCTTTCTAATGGTGCCTGTTCATCCAAATCCTGGAACATTTTCAGAGTTTGTGGAGAAATTTATGGATGGCCAAGGTAAGAATAGCTTTCTTTGAATTCTTAAGATAAAGAACACAAAACAAATGACATCTCTGAGAAAAGTTTCTTGTCTGTCCTGTTACTTTCCTTGAGCCTTAAGTATAGGAATTAAGTAAGTATAGGAATTAGAGAAACCTTTGAATTTTACAGCAAGCATATAGCAGGGTCCCACAGGTAGAAGGCAAATGGACAGAATCTGGACATTGCAGTTCAATGCCTCAAAACAAATAGAGTGTTTGAGGACTGAAGATCACATTTAATTTTCTCTCTTTCTCTAAGACTGAGACTCAGTGTCCATTTCTCTTTCTTGAATCTTTTTATTTGAAAGCTATTTCACAGAATGTTATTATAGCTCCTTGAATAAGGCTAAAATGAATAGAAGAGGAGAGAGACTTCCCACTTGTTTCCAAGGGAAATTTTGGATTATAATTCATTAAGACATTCAACTATCTACAAAGATTTTACTCATTCTGCATCCAACTACCTGGTTTGACTGTTTGAAATACATTTATCATGACCATACAAGATTGTAAGCTGAAATTTGGGGAACTTTGTCTTTTTATTTAACTCCAGACTAAAGCAACTTAGTAAGTAGAGTTGATGAAAAAAGTGTTTGGGAAAGAGACACCTGCCGCAAGTAAAGAAGGCCATTATGATCTTGTAGCAATAAGTGGAAAATAAATGATCGACTCAACAAAATTAAACCATATATCTGTTTTAGTCCATATTTTGAAAACAATTTTGCTAAAACACTGCCTGCAACATATGCCTCAAGTTGACCAAAACCCTCATTAGAAGGCAGTGAAAGATAATGTTGCCCCTCTACAAAAAGGATGACTAAGATCATTACAAATATCATGATATCACTTTCTCTGTAAAGGAAAATGCCAGATAAGTTGAATACAGAAAAATATATGTAGTGACTTAATACAAAGCATAATATTTTGACTCATCACTACTTTACTCTCTCAGCTTTTTATTGGTGACATCCTTGCATATGTATGAAGGAAGATAAAGAAAGAGAAAAGGAAAGACAGTATTTGTTTATATCACATCATTCCCCAAATCTCTAAGTGTTGTAAAATGAGAATAATGAAGAAGATTTCTAAGAAGTCACCACTTATCACCTAAACTACAATTAAAATTAGAAAAAATTACTTAATTAAAATTATCTATAGACATATATATATGTGTGAAATTATATAAATATGTAGTTACTAGCTTCAGTTGGCAAAGCTAGTATAAAAATAGTAAATTTGAGACCTGTATATATCCTTCTGATTATTAAAAATTTTCACTCGCACACAAGCACAAACCAGTTTTAAAAATTCTCTCTTAAGTTCTACATCTAATTTATGGGAGGAATACTTCAATTTTCTCTTTATCATAAACCCTGTTCTACCAAGAAAGTTTAGACTATGTCTGTATGTAGGTTATTTAACATAGTTTGCCTTTCTTGCTGCAAATAAATTTGCTTAGGAAGTGCAGTTAATTCTAATTTTTATTCCACAATCATTTGTTTGTATTTACACATTGCTACTATTGTCTGAACACTCATTTTCAAGTTGTATAAAGATGATACTATGTTCTTATGCTGTTTTTATCTCTAATTTTAGTTCCTTATGGCTCCTGGTATAAACATACACAGTCTTGGTGGGAAAAGAGAAATGATTCACAATTGCTTTTTCTTTTTTACGAAGATATGAAAGAGGTGAGAAACTGGAAACATGGGCAACTTACTACTTTATAAAATATTAGCATTTAACAGTACTTTAATACAAAAATTTGCCTTTAAGTAAATGATGCAGTCACCTTCAAAAGCTACAATAATCAGCACAGATTTCAATCTAAAAAATGAAAATCTTCTTTAACTCAATATAAGCCAAGTCTCAAATAATTGCTAAAGATAAAACTTAAAAGAATATGAGTTTATATCATAAAACAAAACACACACACACACACAGGCACAGCCACACATGTGCAAGAGGGCCAATTGTCCTCAAAATAGATAGCTGTTGAAATTATTGACAAGAACTAAAAGTTAACTGTACTTAATTTTTAAAGAAATAATGGGATAAATTAGATATTTTACAAAATAACACGAGGTTATTAAAATTAATGAGCCAGATAATGAAGAAACAACAAAGTGAATTTCTAAAAAATAAAAATTATAAAGTTAAGACATAGTTTAAGCTATGGATACAGCATGATTAGTGAAATAGTGAAGTAGAAGACAGAACAGATGGAATTGTATAGAATGGCCATACACTTCAAAAATACTCTATCCTTGTAAGATAAGGTGATAAGATACTACAATATCCAAGAACTCTTAGTTCTTGTCAAACTTCCAGAAAAACATCAGTAAAGAGAACTCTAGAACAGTAATATGCAAATGCATGGTGCCTTTGAAATAGCCTCAGAATTTAGTTTTCCTCTAAATTCCTTAGTAAACAGTGTAATTCAAAATAAAAATTGTTATGAAATGACATTTCACACCCACTTGCCTAACAATAATTTATTAAGTTTCACATTAACACCGTTATTGTAGTTTGTGGGTTAATGAGAAATCACACTCTGTTGATAGGAATGTAAACAGATACAAACACTATGGAAACAACTTGTTATCTAAGAAGAATAAACATGTACATAACTTAAGACCCAGGAAACCAAGTGGATATATACTCTTGAAAATTTCTGGCTTCTGTACATTAGGTGATATTTATCCAGCATAACTGTACATCAAAAGACTAAAATAAACATTTATAAACATCTAATTTAGTGTTCTAAAAATCTTTGAAATATATTTATTTATAACCTTTTTTTGATGAGGAAAATTATGTTTGGAGAAGTTAAGAACATACCTTTTTTCCTAGATAGAAATCTAATTCCAGTATCATTATGAAAAAAAATTTTCTTTCTCTTTTTTTGAATCCAAATAACAAGTTATTCTATTTTAGCAACTGAGACCTAAAATATTTTTTCTCATTAGGATATCAGAAAAGAGGTGATAAAATTGATACACTTTCTTGGAAGGAAGCCATCAGAGACACTGGTGGACAAGATTATACAACATACAACATTCCAGGAGATGAAGAAGAACCCATTTACTAATTACACAATACTGCCAGAAGAATTCATGAATCAAAAAGTGCATTCCTTCATGAGAAAGGGTGAGAAAATGACTAATCTCTGTCGTTACAGAAAGTCATCAGTTGAGGACCCTCTCTGGTGGCGCAACGGGTTTGACACAGCACTGCAAGCTGGCTGCAGCCACTTCATTGCTAGTTCCATCCCTGGCGCCGGAGGTGACCCACATGGCACCGCAGACCACTCCTGAACCGCCCTCTGCTCCCCTCAGCAGTGTACTTAGGCAATCTGCCTGTTCTCCTCCCCACCCTGTCTGTGGTGAAGCCTCTCATAGCCCCTGCGCCTCTGGCTTGTACCCTGGTTCTGTATGAATAAATAAATAAATCTTAAAAAAAAAAAAAAGTATTTGAACTCCAAAGGCATGTAAAATATGCAGAGTAGTGAAACATCTTGCCTTACAGGTAACGTAAAAATCTGTGGGGTTTTTTTTCAACAATGGAATAATGAAAATATTGCCCTTTGACCCAAATTGGCAGTGAGGAAATCAAGTAATTTTTTTAAATAATAGGAATAGCTATCTTGCCAATTGGCAAAAAGAGGGATCCGATACAAAGAGGCTTAGCGCACAAATTAGATTATGTATTTTTTTAAAATTTGTTTACATATGCATACAAGAGCTGGGGTGCAAGCCAGAGGTGCAGGACAGTGAGAGGACTCACCAGAGAAAGTGGGGTGTAGAAGAGGCAGATCCCGCTGAGGGGAGCAGCGCGTCAGACAGGAGAGTCTGCTTCCTCATGTGGGGCAGCTGCCTGGCCAGGGGTCAAACTGGTGATTTAGTGGCTGTGGATTGCTTCACAGTGCTGAGATTTAACCTTTTGTGTCACCAGGAAGACCCCATTTTAATTATTTCTTCTTAAAATTTTTTAGCCTCCTTTTTCAAAATATATGTGTACATATTTTTAAAAAACAAAACACTGAGCTTATAATAATAACATGCTTATCAAAGGCTGCTTAGTATTACTCTCTTTTACTCTACTCAATTCTCAGTACAAACTTTCTCCATCTTCTACCTTTGGCATCTTTGGTCATTTCACTGGGAAAATTTAGCACTCTTTAATCTAAGAGGCAAATGAGTTATGAAGTAATTTAAAGCACACGGATGATATCCTTCTGTCAGTGAAAAGAAAAGAGAGGGCCTGCTAAGTTCTTATAATAACCCTGGTGGGAAACGCTGAGGTACTTTGCCAGCAGAGTTAACTGCGAGGTGATGAGTCAACAGCTATGCGAAAGCCTCATCCGAACTTCCTTTGACTGATGATGACAAATCTAAATGTTGTGTTTGAGTGACAGCTTCTGAGCTTATACCTTGGAAACAAAGCTTTGCTGTTAACCAGATTATGGAACAATAGGGTGAAAAAAGTGCAATGAACACTTTAAAATATGAAAAATGAAGCCATTTTACATAAAGTGAAAGAAAATCTGGAAGGAAATAGCTAATAATTATGATAAGCTTAGTGTTCTGTTTTGTTTTCTTAAAAAACATATGTGTATATTAGGTAGAAAATGAATTTATCTTTGAAATCAGTTGAACTTTGGGCACTTCTCTGGAATTCCGGTGGCAATGTCATGCCAACTTAGAACATGGAAAGATAAATCTTGACTTGAGTGTTATCAGCTTTAGAAGATATTTCATATCTTGAAAACAAGTAAAATGTGGATCTTATTTCAGGAACCACAACATTTGAGAGGAAATTGGAGAAAAATCAGGTTAAGCAGTTTAAGAGAGAAGAGTCACAGAGCAAAATCTCCTGTTTATTTAAAAACTTCTTTGCCAGTTCAAATTTAAGTATATGCTATGCATATGGTCCATATTTTACATGCATATCACATATGGTATATATATATATATTTATTCCTACAATTGAGAATTATACGAGTAAAACTTTATTAGGTGTTAATAAATGTGATGAGTATTAACTGTAATTTTGTTTTGAATATTTATTACTTTTCCTTTTTTTCTTACAGGGATTTCAGGAGATTGGAAGAATCACTTTACAGTAGCACTAAATGAGAAGTTTGATATGCACTATGAACAGCAAATGAAGGGGTCTACATTGAAATTAAGAACTGAGATCTAAGAATGTTCACTACATACATCTGAGATTAAAGCTTTCTTCAATCTTCACTTTCTTACTTAAAGATTTGTAGACAGAGCCAGGAGAATGCTCACACATATTCATATGGCATTGAGATCTATGTATCTTAAAAAAGCAAAATGAATTTTTCCCTATTATCATCTTTTTAAGTTTGCTTTTTTTCTTTGATATGTTTAAAAATATATATACAGAACTAATCGATGAGAATGATGTAGAAACCCACATGTAGTTCAAGTTGTTGGGGGTAATTAAAAATAACCAAATTCTTAAATTTTGGGATTGCTTTTTCAATAGTACATTCAGCTTATACACATATTTTATGCATATACATATATAAATAACAAATATATACATATGAACTTGAAAGTCTTGGAAAACTAAAAAGTACATCAATTTGGGGGCAGAATTGTGTCTGCTATTTTCTTCTTGACTTTCTTTCACTTTATGTAAAAATGACTTAATTTGTAACTTTCCTTAATTTAATGTAAATTTTGGCCATAACGGGAATGATTTCCAGATGTTTAGAAATAATCTTAATGATAACTAGAACTTGAATGATTTGAGGTAATTTGACATATATCTGATTTTACGTTCAATAAGGAATGTAATGAATAAAAACTTTATAAATTAAAACTACATTTAATTCATTTTCTATTGTTCTAATATTGGGTTACAACACTATACATGATTTACAACTGTGGTATCACACCCTTAGGTGTGCATTACCACACACACCCACCACCAAAGTCCTGATAATCCCCACCATAATGTATTGTGTCCTCCTCTGCACTTTGTCTCCCTCTCTTCCCCTCCTCATTTTGGAGAGAATGTGATATTTGTTATCAAAACAAAGAAGGTTTAAAAAAAAAAGTGGGCAGAACTTTTTTAATTTAAAATTGCTTTGGCTTACCTTTCCTACTGTATTTATTTTCTCTTGACTTTTCTCAATGTTATAGTGATCATAAGTCCATGCTTCCTTTTTCTAAATCAGGAGATACACAAAATCACAAAATATACTTTTAAAGGTTGTATTATTTTTTTCTGAGATAACATTGTTTTAAAAAATGTAATGATCTAAGTGTACAGGTTCATATTTTTTCAAATGTAAGTTAACATATCACACCCACCATCAAAGCACTCATTTTTTAAAGATTTAATTATTTATGCATACAAGAACTGGGGTATAGGCCAGAGGTGTGGAGGGGTAAGAGGATTCATCAGAGACAGAGTGGGAAGCAGAACAGGCAGATTAACTGAAATATATGGCTGAGGGGGCTAGCCAGTTAGACAGGAGGGATATGCTGAGCCATGTGGGTCACCTCCCCTGGTTGGGCTGGGGATCAAAACTCATGCTGTAGTGTCTGACAATAGCTTGTTAGCCCTGAGACTTAAGCCCTTGCACCAGTAAAGAGGCCCCAAGAAGATACATTTTTCATAAATCAGTAAGCTTCCATAGTATTTTTCACTGGGACTTGAGCAGTCTACATTCCCAGCAACAAAATGTGAGAGTTCTTTTTTGCCCACTGCATTGTCAACACTTGCATTTACTGGTCTTTTCGACATGGGCCACTGTCACACATGTGAGGTAGTATCTCATTGTGATTTCTTCTGCATTGCCCTAATCATAAATGATGATGAATACTTGTAAATGTGCCTTTTGGCACATATGTGCCTTCTTTGGCCCATATGTATTTGAGAAGTACGTGTTTAGCTTTTTTTCCTTCCTTGTCTGGTTGTGCTAGTTGTTTTCTTTTTATTGAGTTTTGTGAGTATCTTAAAGACCTTGGGTGTTAGCCCCTTCTTGATGTATGATATAATCCTTCTCCCCCATTTTGTAGGCCGTCTTTTCGTTATGACTATAGTTTATTTCACTGTGCGGAAATCTTTGAGATTGATTAGTTCCATTTGTTTATTTCTGCTTTTGTTTCCAATGCTCTTGTAGTCCAATTCCCAAAGTTGTCTACAAAGTAAAAATCTTGGAGAGCTACACAGATGTAGCTCATTACATGCATGTTTTTAAGATAAATCACTAGTCAAGGAACAGGACTTGTCAGCACACACATAGTTCATGCTAATTTTATCTGGTAATTGGCGTGAACTGTGTGGTAGTGAATTGGCTTTATCCAGAAAGAAAACAAACAAATCTTTGTTTCAGAAATGATTCTCAGCTTGGAATCAGGCCCCTCTGATATTAGGATACTACCTTCCCACAGAAAAGGGATATAGTGGTGTTCTTTCCCTTGATGCTTACAGTTCAAACAGATGGCTCCCAGTTCCTTGAGAAAGAAAGCCTCCATTCATCAAGCTCATGGAGACCTATCTTGTCTTCAAGCAGATTTATATGTAATATATTAGAGACAACAAAGTACACTTACATTTACAATTTTTCTAAGAAAGGTCAATATTCTAAGAAGAGATTAGTCTTATTTCAACAATATGAAGCTTATTTTCAAGGTAACTTTGTCCTTATGAAAGACACAGAGAAAGAGTAGTCTATGAAGATAAAGGCAGATATTGGGTTGATTCAGCAAAAAACAAAGAATGCCAGATTGCTGACAAACCCCCAGAAACTAGAACAAAAATATGAACAGACTCTTTTTCACAGCCCTCTCGAGCAACCAACCTTAGTAACACCTTGATCTAGAACTTCTGGCTTCCAGAATTATGAAAAGATAAAATCTTATTGTTTAAGCCAATTAGTTGTTGGTAGCCCCAGCAAACTCATGAACCATTATATTTCACTTTCCTCTTAGACTGGAAAGGCATGGGTAAATGGAAGGCTTGAGAACTATGAACTGATTATGGTAATATCTATTTCAGAGCATTGTTAAGAAAAGCAAATAAAACACATAACATGCTTAGTAAAGTGCCTGGGACATAGTACTTAATTCATCTTTCCTGTTGCTACCATTCTTCTCTCCTTGAGCAGAGTGTTCCTGAAGACAATCAGATGTTACATGCATTGATATTTTAATGATATTGACTGATTCATGTGGTATATGTGTTGACATTGTAATTATCCTGACTGATGGGAAAATGGGGGCAATTTTTGTAGGGGAATCAAGTTATGGATTGATTTAAGTTATAAATAAAATCAATCACTTGTTTAAGAAGACACACAAAAACAAGGGGAGATGAAACCAGGGCTATGTGGCAAGATGCCACCTAAATAAAAAGGAACAAATGCTCCCAATAAGATGCCTCTGAGAAGTGGCATATATATGGACACCAAACATAAGCCAATTTGTGATGCTGATGGACTCTATGCTGGTGGTCATGGTTCTGATGCCCACTCCAGAGTCTGATGAGAGAAGTGACATCCCTTCCAATTCCTTGAAGATACAGAGATTTCTGGGGCTCTTATGATGCATCCTGCCCACTGGGTACTGCCAGTCTCCTGAACTTTATGAAAAGGTTCTTTGCTAACAGGCTCATTATTTTTCCATCCTCTTGCTGCAAATTTAATCGTATGTATATAGGACTGCAAAGTGGATTCCTAGTATATTTGTATTGTAGCTATGTGGATTTGACTTGAGTGGAGTGAACTTGATTTTGTGCATTTGTTCTATTTTCTTTTATCCTTAAATTTGAGCTAGGGTTTTGCTCCTTACAGCTATAAGGAAGCCGATACAGTTTTCCAAATACATAACAACACAGACATTTGGAAGTAACAAACTAAAATGTTAAAGTATTTTAGCTACTCTTTAGAAGCTGTAGAAAAAAATTATACAGCTACTTAGGCTCATCCTTAGTGAAAGAAAGCCAGAAAGAAAAAGAAAAATACCGGATGGTTTCACTCATAGCAGGAGCATAAGGGATTGGGGGTGGGGGATGGTGGGGAAGAGAGACAAAAGAATGTAAGAGTGAAAGAACAAACAACTACACCAGACAGTTTATGGGGGCGGCAGGGGAATGGGATCGGAACTGGGGTGGGAAAAGTGCACTGGACTGTGGTGGGATCGGATCTGGGGTGGGAAAAGTGCACTGGACTGTGGTGATGACATACGGGTGAATTGGTGGTGGGAAGCTCATGGGGATTACAACTGAGATGAAAAATGCACAAAAGGAAGAATGATGGGGAAAAAAGTATGACTTTAATAAATAGACAAAAACTTTGGATTGGGCAGCTAACAATAAATGTGTTATGCCTTTAAAATTAATCTATTAATTTAACAAAATACCTTCCGAATGCCTTATTTTTATATTAGAGTAACTGATTTATAAATATTTATAGAAATAAAGCTTTGTAAAAATAGCCAAGAAAATTCTGAAAGTAAATAATATATGGAACAGATCTTATAGGTTGTCCAATTTCTAGTTAGCATAATTCCCAGTGACATAACTAACTTTAGGTCTATTTCTGCCTATCTACTATAAAACTTACCCAGCTGATTTCTTTATGTAACTTTGGTCATAAAAAAATTACTCATGGCCCTCCCTGGTGGCGCAGCAGGTTAAAGCACAGCACTAAGAAGTCAAAGCCACTTCCGCATGAGTTCGATCCCCGCCTGCCCCGGAGGTGACCACATGGCGTGGCAGACC